TAAATAAACCAAAGTAAACTCTTCGTTGTAATACATATTCAGAGGGTGAACAAAAATCTTTGCCTCTTTTTTATTTCATCTCTTCGGTTACATTCACGAAAATATGAGTTTGCATAAAGGTCCATAATCATAAAAGTATTCAAATATTATTCGAGCGCGAGAAAAATAAATTGCCGACGGCAGATTTTTTACTAACCGCGTAATGGGAAATACCTTCTCAGTCAAATAAACACGTTGGATCGAAAAAAACATATGAAAAACTGAGAAAAGGATGAAGAGGCGATTCTCTTATGAAAATAAGGGATCATCCTTTTGCGGATGTACCTTCTTTCTCCTTTGCATATCTCCTGTGACACGGAACGTTGCATCACGCAACAGCTGGTTGCAATCTTGCTAATTATAAATATACATTAGATGAAATGTGCAAGAAAATGAAAAAGAAGAAGCAAGATTAAAACATGTGGTGCTGCATCACCTGTAGCATTCTCTGCTTCGTTTGAAACACGGAAGATAATAAAAACGTGAAAGGAACGTACCGGAATGAGACTCTCATTGTTTTAAAAACTCGAATTACAATTTTTATAAAAAAAAAAAAAGGAAACGCACGGTCGAGAGAAATCGCAATTTCAAAGCGATAGGAGGTGGAAAAGAATTTCATTAAACGAAAGTCTTCTCTTGGAAGAGAGAAATGTTAAAAAAAAAAAAAAAACGAAAGCTTTAAGGACACTTCAATTCGTTCTTTATTCTCTGGAAAAGAAAGAATCGAGGTAACTTTGTGTTTAAATTTTAATTTCACAAAGCGCAGCGTGTAAAAGAAAGGACAAATGGCAAAGCAATTCTCTCGCGTTTGTACTTTCTCCTTTCGTTTAACGCAACAAAGAAATTTTTGTCTAATTTTTCTCTTCCTTATTACTAGGAAGAAGCTAAGACTCTGACCAATTGCACGAAACATCCTGTACACGATACGTGATAAATATTAAAATGCGGTCACAGAACTCGAACTCGAGGAAGGATTACGTGGAATGTAGATATAGTATAAGCTCGTTTATTCGACGAGATTATCGTACGCATCGACGAGGTCGTTTGCCTGATTCGCAGCCGGCAGTCGGTAATTTTATTAACCTTGGTATATAGCGAGAAGAGAAAAACGAACACGCGGAGAAACACTCGGTTTGGCCCTGAAAGGCCTGGCAAAGGGATTCGTCTCGTCTAACCAGGAATTTGCCAAAAGTCCGGGTTTTCCGGTATGTCTGTCACGTAGCCAAGCCGCGGCACCGGGGCTCTTCCATTTCACAACCGGTTTGAATGAAATTGGAAACATTTCTCAGCCGCCACGCTCGCTCCTCTCTGTAGACACTGGTATAAACGTACAATATACAAGGTATTTCGTGACGTACGAGACCCACTTTGACGCGCACGTGGACGAATCAAAAGCGATCGTTTACGAACCTTGGTTACGAATTTCCCTCAGCGTCGAATCGGGGTAGAAGTTAAGAGACAGCGTACAAATTAAATTACGAATTGAAAAGGTTAGACGCAACAGCACTTCCATTAATGAGATTAAAATTCGTCGGGTTGTCTCTCGGGTAAAATATACACCTCTTGTTGCATGCGTGGCAACCAATTTTTCTCCTGTTTTCTCAGTTCTCACTGACCGCGCGGGCGCGTGGAATATTTCAACAAGTTGATCTCCTATTCACGGCAATTCTCTGGTTCAATTTGAGTAATTGAACCAGAGACTTCATTTTTAAGTAAGTCGGCAAGATGTTCTATCTGAAAAACTCACATTCCAAGGACATTGTCAATCAAAGTATACCCGTCGAGACAAAAACTGTTCCCGATAGCTTGAAAAATAAAAAAAAAAAAAAAAAAAAAAAAAAAAAAGGAACACGATCAAATTCACCATCGTGAGACGGGGGACAACGAGCGAAAGTTTCATTCCAAAGTTTCTCGAGACGAGCGATAATTCCGACTCGCGTTGAAGCAGAGGAGCTCGCCTTCTCCAAATCCACTTTTCTAAATTACTCCCGCGAAACGAAGATATAACGCGGCAATCCATTTTGACATCGCGTCTGAAGGATCAACTACTCGGGGCTGAGGGATCAAGCGGAAGGAGAACGCGGCGAGCGCGTGTATATATACGCGGCCTGACGACGCGCAGCACCGATCTACGACACGGTACGTTTATGACAGCTCTGTCTACCACGTTTTAAGAGGAGCTCTGTCATCACTCCGTGGCGGAGTTCGCTACTAAACGCAGACGTCGCCGATGTCACGTACGTCGACGGTTGGTTGCCGTGTAGGGAATCCGGCTGGTCGGGTCTAAGGGGATCGCAGAAACACCAGGCCGCGGTACCAGATGCCGCGGATACACCGCATGCACTTCTTTTCTCGCGTTTTACTGACTCTTCGTTCTCCGCGAGGCTTTCCGCCGGCTTCTCAGCTCTGTCCGCTGACATGGAGTTAATAAAGTTCCGCTCGTTCTGCGAGACACAGCGTTTCGCCAAAGAAACAGCTAAATGAAGCTGTACGTGGAATGAAGCATATTTTAATGTCTTACTCCCCTCGTTCGCCTCCCTCCCCTTCGCCGCGATAATGTACGTGCTCGGTGTGTAAATACGATGAACTTGGCAATGCCGTGTAGAAACCAGTTTTCGTAGGAGAGAACGCTCGCGCGCGCGTGGCGCTAAGCGCTTTATGACGGAGACCGATGATCGTCGATCGCCGATGATTCCGATGAAGAAACCGGTAGAAAACCAACCGATATATCGGCCGACGAGACGAATTGATTTTCCCCATTGTGTCATAGGTTGGCCGTCTAACAACGACAACAGGGGGAGGGGATTGATATTCTTCCGCGCGTGAGATAACGCCTTTAAACCTTTACGAGATACGCGACGGAGGAATTTATGGCATAAAGTGGCAGATAGAAAGTCTCTGTAATTAAGCAGAAGACGAAAGTTTGAGGGTCTTTACACAGTTGCGTTAAATTTGAATGTGCGGAGATGCTTAAGATTTTTTGATAAAATTAAAAGTAGAGTACTTCTCGTAATCTGTAGTATTTTATTCGATAGAAGAGATTCTCCTTTACTCACAGTCGGACAGTTGTTGATTAGCAAATTTTTACAAGTTACAATTCTTGTATAATGTCAATGCTAAAACTACCAAAGTGGTAAAACTTTATAGATATAAAACTAAAACATTTCCCACTAAATGTATAAATCGAAGCTTGTATATTCTATTGAATTATAACGTTTCTTTTTTCCCCCTCTTTTGACTTCAATGCATCTAATGGAAGTTCTACGCTCTAGTGTTAAAGAGAAAACGGAAACAGAAAAAATTCTAGACGGAAGTGTCATTCGTACATGTGTATATGTATGGGTATATATGGTGTAATTGGCGTTATACAAACTTAATGAAAAAAAATAAAATTGGGTGCAAGTGGTGTAAGGTGCACGAAACCAGTTTGTTACGATCTTCTATTACGCACATTGCGTGCGACGGAGGCAACGTTCCGCATGTTACGCGATACCTGCGTTCTATATAATGCTCTCTGATTTTTTTATCAGTAGGCGAGCAGGGACGAACGCAATTTCACTGGATGCCCGCGTAATTTACGGGATATTGAAATACTTTGTACGTTGGAAGCATACTTTGTACCTTAGAAGCACCTTACGTACGAGCCACGTCCCGGGGATAAATGGTTTTACCTTTCATTTGAAGAAACTTGATTGAATATCGATCGCGAAGGAACAAGGGTATGAAAATTGAATAAGCTCAAACACCGTAAACGGGATGTTTGAGGTAACGATCCGCAAGTTTCTCCAACCTCACCCTTTCGTAGGGCTGCTAGCATTTTATGTAATACACCGTACAATAAAAAAAAATGGAAATATTTTTCTCCCTGTGTCGGAAGGTGAATGAAAATTTTCTAGACAGCAGATACTTTTCACACGTTCAATCACATAATGATAAAACAAGTGCGTGAATTTAAACCTGCCGGTGTATGATTTAACATTCTTGTTGTATCGAGGAAATGATATTTCGAAGCTGCACGGTATGTAAGAGTGTAATCTGTCTTTCGTGCTAGATGAAAACCATGAAAATTACGGGACAGTGTGTTGCATTCAACGAGAAACAATTTAAGTATACAATGAAGAATAAGGAGAAAGAAGCGAACGCGGTCGTCGGTAAGCAACAGCGCCGAGACTATTTCAACGAATGGCAAATTGCATCAGAATACGCGAAAGTCTTTGTCGCGGCCCGAAGAAGAAGTTATTTGGCACAGCTGTTGACGTGTTATCTTAACGACGAACAAAGACAGAAAACAATTCCTCATGTGACTTGCAAATCTCACGGAAGCGCAGAATTTTTGCCCCCGTTGATTGTTTTCAGAAAACCTCCAAGTGTCCGCGCGTACGTACATATATTTTGATTTATTTTGACAACCGCGAGAATCTTGGCGAGAGAAAGGTATGCGTTCTCGAGTAACAATAACGACAAAAATTAATTCACACTCGTTTCAGTTGATACACGTCGCGAGATCAATTCTTCCTTCGCGTCATGATCGAGGATTTTGATGTTTAAAATTGTTCCGACAAGTCAATTCAACATCGAAGGTTGCGTTATCTTTTACAATGAGAATTTTACGAAGAACTGAAACGTATGAATGATAATTATTACTAAGAGTCGATTAAAGAAATCGATTCAACCGATTTGGCTAGCCAATTCAATCGAAAAACAATACATTCAAACAATACATTCAAAAAGCTCTTTCAAGCTTCAAATCAATATTTGATATTTCAATCCGTAATCGACCAATATTTCTTACCAATATCCTGTGCAAAATGCTGACAAAATGTCCCGCGACTCATCCGACATCCAAGAATGTCGATCACTCGTCTAGCGACACATCCAACATTATACAAATACAAATGAAAGAAATCATCGAATCAATTGCCGTCCACAGTCACCAGACAATGTTCCTATCTTTATTTCAGATTCTGCTTTCGCACTTCGACGCCTTCAAGTTCCCGAGCTCGGAGGTGGTTCAATTCCGCGCGTTGGTGACACCGTGCATGCCGACTTGCGAGCCGGTGCAGTGCGATCAGGAGGAAGCGACCGGCGAGCTCCGTTCCGTCATTTCCTTTGGCAAACGTCGCCGTCGCCGCGCCACCGACACATCGTCCCACAACCGCGAGGATCTCCTTCTGGTGCAGTCGATTCAGATCACGGACAAGTTCGGGTTCGAGCACGACGGCAAGACGTCGAACGCCAGCTCGGCGACCAGGGACACGGTGTTCGTAGAGAGCGAGGACATCACGTCGACGATGGGCATGTGCATCAACCTCGGCGAGGCGATCGTCGCTGGCACCGTGTTCCTCGTCGCCCAGATCGCCATCATCGCCGCGTGGACCTTCACCTGGCAGAGACGCCGCCAGATGCTAAAGCATCAGGAAGCTCTCTCGGTCTCGGTTTCCGTTCCTGGAATGCATTCCGTTCCGGGACGCACCGACAGCCTCTGTAAGTTGTACGACACCGGATATTCGCCGCGCCGTTTTTGAATAGCCTTCGTTTCCTGCGCTGCCGTCCTTCAATCTCTTGGTCTTCCTCCGCTGCCGACGTCGCCAACCTCCACGACACTTCCCAGAGAAATCCTTTCGTCGAGCAGAAGAAGAGTAATCTTCTTCGTTTCTCGAACGTTATTTCCCGGTTTCTGCCACATGATGCAGAGTCTCGCAAAGTAATTCGTCTCCGTTTCTTGCGCGAAACACTCGGCAAAGAAAGTAATGTCACGCGTAATTTTTTTCTAGAAATTAACATTGAGAATTTCGTGGTATATTGAAGAGAATCTCTGGGAGTGCTGGAGCAATCCAATTGACAATGTTAACTACTGGCGCAGCAGATTCGTTGCCTTGTAATCGGGATCCGTGCAAATTCTAGAGTATTCGGTGTGGCTTCGAATCGATACACCCGGGCAGATAGAAGAATTTTTATTTCTTTTTTTTTTTCTTTTGTTTTTTGTTTTTTTTTTTGGAAGAATCAGACATCCAGACGAAAACCTGCCCGTCTGATCGACGACACTATCGTGCTCTCTATCATGTAAGAATTATACTTCTCCCCTGCTATTCCCCCGAGGATAAACGATCGATGCTCGATAAAAAAAAACCCCCCGTTTTTTTAATTATATCGCGTTTCGTCAACGTCGAAAAATCGAACAAAAAAATCACGGCTGAAATTTCAATCAACCAGGCCTGGCCTTCCACGATCGCTGATCTCTTCTTTGGAGGGAACCTTCTCACGCGACACGCGGAACTAAACACACGCGACAAAATCCAGTCTAAGAAGCCAGTTTGAAAAATAAAACACTTGCACACGTATGATTTGCAATAATCTTGCTTGAGAGTAACAAACTCCTTTCAGAGGAAATCACGGGTTGAAACAAAAGCTGGCGAAAATAGTTTAACGAACAATTCAGAGTGAGGAGGGGCGTGGGGGTGGGAGGGGGGATTGATTATACGGTGGCAGTCGGAAGGGATTACGCGATCAAAGGAGGCCGCCTCGATCGATTATCCCGTGGCAGCTTCGTCATCTTTCATTCATAACCGCGCATAATCTGCCCTGATGTCTTCTTGCGACATTTCCTCCCCCCTCCCCTGTGTTCCATCCACCCCGTACTTCCTCGTACTTCTTTTCATCTCGTCGTGCGTGAAACGCGAGAGACAGGATAAAGCGGAATAAGCCGAAGCGGGGCCGAGGCGTGGTTGGACTCGAAGGTGATGGAGGTCGACGTGTACTCGGCTGCGTCGGCCAGGACGGCACCGGTGCGGACTCTAATTAGCATTGGGAATCGAGCATGATTATGCAGATGCTCCGAGTGGGATATCAACAGGAGGGTAGGGCCGAGGGATGGGGAGGTGGGGGAGGGTCGGAGGGTGGTGGTTGAAACGGAACAACTGGAAACAGTAGGAGACAGCGGTAGGAACTAGCGGCGGATGGTTGAGTGGGGGATGCAACGCGCGTCAAGGGGCTGGCGGAAGGTTAATTGCCTCTTGTGGCGTCTCGGGGTTAAGCTAAGCTTGGTCGGGGTTAGACGAGAATTCGGGAGCAAGAAGGAAGCCGGTGGAACGAGACAGCGAACGACGTTGGGATCGCGTCAAGGATAGATGCTACGTGGGGCAATAGAGGCCAGGATCGTATAACCCTTCCGTACCCTTTCCGATTTAACCGTAACGTGGCCAGATTTCGGCCATCCGTGTCGATGTCAGGTTAATTTACATCCGCGACACGTGAGCTTATCAATCTGGCCCGGATCCGACGCGCTCCGATGGCTACGAGTTACGTCCAATCAACGGGACGAGTCTTTGATGTCGGCCGTAAGTGCAGACAGAGAGTAGTTCGCTCGTTGTTTCTTCCTCGGTTGCAGTGGTTGCGTAAACAAAGTTATTAATATCGCGATGAGAGATCCTCCCCGGGAGGGGTGAACGAACTTTTATACCGCGTTTTAAAATAGTTTCGAACTTATTATCCAAGAAATATGCGCGCACCGGGCAGAGAGTCGATTCCAACCGAGTAGCCTGGACTTTCTGTTGAAGTATTCGAACTGGTTATTATCGCGGATATATGCTCCGGTGAAAATTTCGGCAACTGGTGTTACCGCGGTGGTCGCGCGGACGAACGCGGTTTACGTCGAGTCAAGTTATTTCGAAGCGTTTTCGCTAGCTACAGCGCGGATCCGAGCTCGGCCGGAGGAAAGTTACAGAACGGCGAGTCGATCTTAACTTCGAAAGGTAGATCCAAACGTGCAAACGGTTGTCGGTACAATGTACTGGCCGAGGAGAGACGGTTCGGATCGGATCGGTTGTACCTCGCGGAGAATTGCTGTTTAACATAACAAGCCTTGGGACGGAACTTGCTGCCAAAACTGTAGTAGCCGGTCTCGAAGTTTCGTTCGGCGGAAGGAGAAATTCTACCAACGAGATCTAGCGAGCGAGGGTAAAACAGAGGGGATCTATGACAGAGGATTCGGCGATGGATAGAAGGGAGGGACGCGCGCGCGATACGTCGGATAAATTTAAATCGGTTAGCCGCCGCTTGCCGCTGGGACTTTATCGATTTCAACGGAGCACAAAGGCGCCGGGATGGGATCGAGTTAATTGAGAAACTTGAAAATTTGAATACGCTCGTCAAGACAAATGGAGAGGGTGGAAAGAGAGAAGATAAAGACGGGCGAAGTGCGAGTGGTTCCCGATTAGTATGGAACGTTTGCGTTTTAGTTAACCGAACTTGGGATCGTTCCTCTGTTCGACATTTGTCTATCGACGGCGACGAACTTGCCGCGGACCATCTGGCGCAGTTTCTCTCTGTTCGTCCGCGTGTCTCTCTTGCTCTCTTCCATTCGGTCTGCGCCTCCTTGCTTCGTGCGAATATTTGGAATTCGTAACGCAGAATGTCTCTCGTTATTCTCGGTACGGTGAACGAATGATTTATATCCATCTTTTAGTGATTTCACAAGTCAGGATTTTCAACGTGCAACGCGGCGTCGTTTTTTCTGTTTTTTTTTTATTTTTTTATTTTTATTTTATTTTTTTTTCATTTCACCACGGTAATCCGAGGCGCGACGCGCGATGCTCTTGGCGGGAAATGACAGCGAAACGGGGAGGGAGGGGAGGGAGGAAAAATGTCAACAGTCGGAGATATCGAGCTTGCGTTGAAAGGACGCGCGCTTTAATTATTGGTACTAATTGCCGTGGAGATTGCTAGGCTTTCGCTCACTTTTGATACAATGGAAACGCGACGCTAAATGGAATTTCTCTTTTCAATCGAATGGCATTGATTGAAAACATAGAATATGGGTGTGACGTAGTTCTCTCTCGCTAGCCATTAGAGCACGTTAACCGGAGCTATTGTGCGGAACGTCCGACACCGGCGTGGCACGAAACCGCGCCGCTCCTCCCGCTTCGGCTTCCTGCCCATTTCACATACGTATAAATATCAGCAAACATGTACACATATTATACAATTAATAAGATGCCAACCGACGGTGCCTACACGCGTTATCAATAAGCGACGCGACTTTTTTTCTGTTTTTTTTTTTCTTTTTTTCTTTCCTTTAACGAACTTTATCTTACACTTACGAAATATGCTAAGGATTTTTCGCTAACGCTGACGTAGTATATCCAATTTGCTTGTGGTGAGAGGGTAGAGCCAATTCTATTTTTTTTTTTTTTCTTTCGTATAAAAACCGTTCGAACAACCTAATTGTACGAACGACGATTGGAATCGCGGGCCGCGAACGCGCACGCGCGAGCGTGAGTGACTCGCCGCTCGCGATCGTTTAAAGGTATCATCCTAGCGCATACGCGAGAGCATACGAGATGGTGCATGAAGAATTTCGTTCCTTCTCGCTGGAGGAGACGACCCGGAAAAAAACAGACAGAGAAAGAGAGAAAGAAAAACGATTTATTGCTCGCAGCAATGCGAGGGGGTCTGAGATTTTCTCGCGCCATCTTGTAGAAGAAAACAGCATTTTCAAGTAGTTCTGTAGAATGACACCCGAGCACTTTTCATCGACTTGATCGAACGCGGCCCGATCGTCGCCGATAAGAGCGTCTTGGCCAGCCAGCAGCGCGTTTGATTCTCAAGTCAATGGAAACTGCATCGTTTCTATCGTCGATAAGGTCACTTATGAAGTAATTTTCCCACTATTAAACGCGTATACGATGGAAGTAAAATCGTGCAAGCATGTATCGTCATTTGATCACGTAATTAAGATTAAGTTAACGCGGCCTGCGAGCGAGCAAGTTGCAGGAGCCGCGGTGAAACGATTAATATTAGGCTCGAGGACGATCGCTCTCTCGATGATAACGCCGAGGAACACCACTTCTGCAGCGTTAAACTCCAACCGACGTTGGGGAAGGGTGCTCGGCGCTTTCGCGCGTAAGAAGTTTGCCTTTCCCGACCTTTCCCCTTCCCACCTTCCCGCCCGTCCTCTTTTCTTTCTTCCTCCGCGCTTCCTTCGTCTCGTCCTTCTTAATGAGCCTTATATTCGTAGCCTCGCCTTCTTTATCGCGAGTGTTCACAAGTGTGCAGAGACGTCGGTGCTTGTCCTCGAGCCTGAGGTGCGCGCCTACTCCGTCGTAAGCTTGAAAAGCTCGAGTCTGTTCTGTACCTTGACAAGCGTGCATGTTTCCCTACCTTTTCTCTCTCCTCCTCCCTCCCATTTCCTATCCTCACCTCACCGCACCCGAGATTTTCCCGCTTCGAAATGAAAAAAAAAAAAAAGAAAATAGAAAAGAATAAAGAATGAGAAGAAAAAGAACGTCGGCCAAACGATTCATCGCGATCACGCGAGTCACGTACAGAGCTTACCCGACGATCGAGCGTTTTTTTTTTTTTTTTTTATATAAACACGCGCACCAACCATAATGGCTTATTTATTTTTTACGTTTAACGTATACCGCCCTTCAAGAATACTCGTATCTTGTCACGTTTTGTCATTGTGTTTTTTTTTCCATTCCCTTCCCTTTTCTTTATTATTATTACTTACTTTCTCTCTCTTTCTTTTTTTAAATTTCTACTCTTGCGCGTCCATGTCTAGCATGTAGGCTAACCACGTTCTAGCGACGTTAATTCGGACGCAATGCAGCGTGCGCGCGCGTGCACACCCACGTAGTATGTACGATAAAGACAGACAATATCGGAACGAGCATTGCGACGGAACGAATTAATCCGTCCAGCATGGAACATTCTGATGTAAGTGTACGCGCGTTCAATTAACTCTTCGTTATTTTTATCTCCATCTATCCCCCCTCCACTTTTTTATACCACAATATCAAGACGTCACCCTTTTGGCTAAACTTCGTATACTTCAGTACCGTAATCACATGTTGTACATAGCATATATGGTACAGAGAAAATAAACTCATTTTATAACGAATGGTTTCGTTCAGTTGTCATCATCAACAACACATCACCTGCAGATCCTTTGTTACTTTTATAACAATTATGACTGATATCTATTCAGTAGTTTTGATAAAAGTGAAACACTTCAGACAGCGTCTTATAAACTTGGCAAACAGGAGAAATTAATATTACGAATTTTAGATATTGCTAAAAATTTTGCTGTTGAGAAACATTTATTCGAGTGAAAAAGAAACGACGATCGAAAAGATTAATTTTGTACGCTAATTGACCCGACTAGACGCGGATAATGTCACTCAAGTGCCTTTCATTTCGTTAAAACTCTCATCTCGGATCTTTCTCCCCTGTTATTGTTTTAAAATTCCTTTTTTCGCGTTTTAAATAGCTTCGCAGAAACGTGAGACGTGCACGTATTCGAAAACGACGACTTAAACGCGTTGTTACACGCGAATGGAATTTTACGAGCCTTGCATTCCATATTCCACTGTTTCTTAGAAAATTGTCATTCCTAAGTAGGTGAGAACAATGAGAGTTGAAACGAACTGAACATAAGAATAAAAAATATATTTCACCCTGTACAAGTACCGATACACGTACTTTGAAACTGAAAATAAAATAATAGTACAGAACTTCAAAATACTAAAATATTATACTAAAATACAAAATACTAATATTTCGCACGCAACTTTACGAAAACTCTGTTACAAGACTTCAATCATGGTTAATGTTTCCTCTCTGCAAATTCTTCATCAGAACAAATGAAAGAGAAGCATCGTGCACCGCGAATGCTGACAAAAATGGTCAGTTTCGCCGAAATGTGGGTCAAAGTGATACAGTTTCAATGCCAAGAACTTCCCAGTAACGTAGATTTCTATAAAAACACCTCTTAATGGACACTGTTGGATCGGTTGCCAGAGGTAAATGGCTGAGAGTCAGTCTTAAATTTATGTGTTGGCAATGACCAGGTTAATCTGAAGACCTGCTGGTAGTTTAAGTAGGTTTCCTGGTAAGTTGCTTCTACGGGACAGTTACAAACCATTTGGAGTCACTAGGAACGCTCGCATCGAGGATAAGCGGCCTCTTATTCAGACGAGGCCTCTGAAACGAATCGTGCATTCCTAACGACAGCAGTTTGGCTCACGTACGTATCAATCAACGTATTATTATGCTAAATATTACCGTGCCTGGCCTGTAAATGCGAGGAATTTCGTGCAAGACGAGACGACGCAAAGTTCATCGATTGAAATGCAGGCTCCTGTCGAGGCGACACGGGTTGTCAGGGGTCAAATTGCTCGAACATTTGTCGCTTCTGGTGGTCAATTTTTTTTTTTTTTTTCACGGTAGAAACACACACGCGCAAACGACGAGCATACCTCACAGTTATGACAATCCTTCAAACAGAGAGATATTGGAAATTCGTTCAATTACAGAACGAAATTCTGTCAACGTGCGAAAATACGAATTTGTGCAAAATCGTATTACGCCTCGTGTAGGAGGGAGCGTCGTAACTTCGCGATTTCTGAGAAGCGATGATATTTGAAATTTTTCAAATCGTTGGAATTACAGTGCTTTCATTTTTTTTTCGAAAAGCCTGCCGCGCGCTTTGAGATATATTGGAACAATGATAACAGTCGGAGATGATAAAGCGCAAAAATAAAAACGCAGGGTAGAAAGTTATTTCCTCTGTTGTCTTTTTCACCCGCTCGCGAGAATTGACTGTCAATATTTATCGCACGAAACGAAAACCTCCGGATTTCACGGGAATTTACAGACGAATGTGCGCGCGGTCGTTTCTGTAACAACGGATGATTGCAAACGAAAGTGCCAGTTGTAATCTAAAGGTAAGCACCAGAACACAAAACGGAGGATAATTGTGTCATCCACGCGTCGTCGACAACGAGCGTTTCAGTCTCAATTGTACGCCTTGAAATTGGGATTTCTAGACACTCGCCGGCCATACGAACAAAGCTAATTGCGAACGCGCGTACGCGTAGATCGATCGCTCTTGCATTATACATTCAGCAAGCAGACGACGAAATGCAATCCTCTGTCACGGTGGAACGCGAACGGTTCGGCCGGCGGATCGGTCAATCGTCGAACAGAGAGGACCAATTAAAATCCGGGAGTTGATCGCGGCCGACGAAAAGTCTCGTGTTTCAAACGCGAAAAAGAGAGGCCAGTGGGGTTTGGTTGGTCGTCGTTCACGTCAACGGTGAACAATTGATCGAGAGAAGAAGCGGCAGCGTTTTTCGAGAGTATCGAGTTTATTCGTGCTGCACGAACGAAAAGTGGACCACGTGAGTATCCAAGATCACGGGTTTCCAGCATCCGTTAGCCGGGGCTGTACGCCCAATCAGCGTGGGAATCGCGCTCGGTGACCCTGAGAACGCGAAATTTATGAGCACGATACTCGTGGCGAAAGACGAGGGGGGAAAAAAATGAAGGAATGGTAATGGACCTGCTTTATCCTTTACCTAACCTCATCGGTTCGATCGCGTTCGCTGCGATCGGTCGATTCACTGAAAAAATTAATCCGCCATTATCGGGACAACAGCGTGCAAACAAGAGACTTTACGCCCGCTCGTTGGAGCAACTGCTTCATAGAGTTCTAACGAGCAGTCCGCGGATTTTTACGCGTTTATGGGAAATTCGAAGAGAGACGGAAGACTTTACAGAATGCAAATATCCAAAGTACAACATTCGATCACGAGTTCGAAACAATTGGAGTCGTTGCTGTCCAAATTTTAGAAATATCGTAAACATAGCGAATTACACAGATTGTTTTTCATACGAAAAGATCGCGTTGTTCGGCGATTAAAAACAAAAATTTCGATTTCTCGGGAAAATACGAGGTAATCCAACGATGTAAAAGTCCGCGTTGCAACGATGAAAAATACGGTAGAATTTTCCATTGAAAATTTTCGAACACAATGTCTGAGACGCTGCCAACGTCTATTAAATCTAGGCGGTCGAATCGAACGACATACAGATACGCTCGCAGTGGCGACACTGTTATAATCGCGAGCAGCAGAGAGGTTATTTTCTTCTTTGCGAATAGCGTCGCCCGGCGTGTGTGTGCTATCTTAGATTACCGGGGGTTGAATAAAGTGCGGGATTATCGCGTGGAGACTAGATCGAAGAGCTGGCGGGCGCGACTTATCGTGCATTAAACAAGAGGGCAGAGTCGGCTGGGAACGATTCGGCCAGTCCATTCGACGGGTTGGCTATGTTAATGAACTGGATCGAGATAATCGCGTGCAGCGCTCGTAGTTTACGGGCACGGTAAACGCGGCAGGAAGTGCCAGGCCCGTGGCTACCGGGTGACAGAACATGCTCTCGCGATACCGAGATTTCTCTATTCGTACGCGAATACTGCGAGAAGTCGTCCTGCCATTTCGAAATCCTCCATTCTGGAGACGACCACGCTCCTCGTCGAGACACAATTTCATTTTCGACTCGACGAACGCCGATGGTTTCGGAAACACGTGTTTGCGAATTTGTATCAACCACCAGAACTACCAAAATTATCAAAATGACCAATTTGTAAATTTTGTTGGATATTTTGCGGATATAAAACAATGTATTTTTTGAGATTTAAATGAGTCTTCGTAAAATGTATCAAATAAAACATTGTATTATATATTTCATTGTGTTGCAAAGTTTTCTACTTTAACTTTCTCTGGTGGAAATTTTACGTTTCCATCGCCGGTGGTTCCAGTGTTAATTGTGGAACAGGCGTGAAGAAGGAACAAGATCGTATGTAACATGCAGTGGATGAAAAAGCTCGCTTAAAATTGCAGAAAATTCGATGTTCGTGCGCTCGAAGATGAAAGAAACAATATTAGCAACTTTCAGAGGCTTTATTCGTAGGGTCTGATAAAACGTAGACACTACAAGTCGATTAATCTGAAAAGTTCTATTGAAACTGCATCGTTTATATTAATCGAAATATAATCGTATACTTTTTAAAGAGATTGGTGTTAAGGGAGAACTAAATTATCGAAATTACAAATCTGTCGTCGCGGATATTATTCATCTCTGTATGTCCCTTCTCTAAAATGCTTTTCTCTTGCCCGTGTAATACACGGAGAATGTAAATTGCAGTACAATCGTCGATATTCCCTGTTTCATGCCCTCCGCGGCGCACGATCGATCACCGAGGGGAATTAAACAACAACATGTAAGATATAAATTGCGTAAGAAATTGGAAAGCAGTTTCTGTTCGGATAAAATAATATCTCGGGGGAGCAACGGTAACTACGACGTATCATCAGTCATCGTACATCATCCTCTATAAGGCCAACTATAAGATATCAACTGCAAGCCATTTGTCAAGAGTCGAAACCGTCCTATCGAAATGTCTCCTCAGAATTATCTGGCCACCATGCCAGATCCAGCCAATTCCAGACGATCGTACGAATCATCCGATATTAACCCTTTGAACTCGATTCGTTTTCAACGTTGTCGCGGGTCCACTTTCCTATTCCTTTCAATGTTTTGAATTGGATAAATTAATGTGCAACAGTGAATACATTTATTACTATCATTATATAATCTGTTCTTTCGTAATTTTTCAAAGTGTGATAGATTTACAAAGCAATTTCCAAATTTTTTATAGCAAATTTGTCACCCATTTGCCAGAGTTCAAAGGGTTAACTGTCAAATCGACACAATTTTCTTTCAACTCATCAGACTTGAAATTAATTAATACTAATGGTTTTAAGTAATACAGCTTTAGAATTGAGAACTGTTGATAAAGAATATTACGAATTTTCAATTGCGCTGTTTATCCCTTGATTTCGATACTTTCGTTTTTATTTACAGTTTGTTCAATCTTCGTGTTATCTTTCAACGGAAATCATAACTGAGATCAGGGATGAATTTCCGAACGTCAGGAATCATTATTTTGTGTCATCGAATGTCAAAAAAATTGTTGAATCTCGAGTGATGTAGTTTTTGGTATTTTTATAATTAGCGTTAATAAAGATACACGTCAGAAGTTAAGTCGCGTTGCCT